GCAATCTCGAGCACCAACGGCCACCATGGCTCTGCCTGCCCGTCCATTGAGCTGGTCCCTGCTCGAGACCCAACTGCTGCGGGCAGCGACGCTGCGGTCATTGCCAACTCGAACGCGAATGTCGACGGGCCTTTCCGAAATTAGCCTTGGTTGACCGCAGCGCAGCCGACGAATCTATGCGAAAATAGACTAAAGCTTTAAGCCACCGCCGATGAGCCCCGCTAAGACAACACGGCATTGATCGGAAGCCCCTTTGTGAAATGAAACACTCGCAGAACAAATTGACAACTTTTCATGTCTTTCCTGTCCCGCAGCCTTGCCGGGGTCATCCTACTGTCGCCTTCATCGCCTCGCGCTTGCACGCCCCAGCACCCCGGGGGCGTTGCGTTGCTGCCACACTACTGCTGGGTGACCCGGCGCAGGGGGATTCCTCAAAAATGTTTTCCATGGGGAAAAAGTGCTTCGCCATACTTAAATGGAAACAACAAATGAGTTTAAAGCAAGTAGGGTCCAATGATGCCCATGCCAGGTTGTTCAACCAAAGACGTTAAATTAAACACATACTAGCGCCTGCTGAACGGCAATTGTCAGCTCCAGAACGCCTCAAGCAACTTGCGAAATAAAGGCCAAGTCCCGTTGACTGACACTGACTCGTCCAAAAATAAGGCAGCGGGGCTCTGCGGCCCTGAGTCGCCCGACTGCAACCGGGCGACTCAGTGCCACTGAGCCCCAGTGACTGCAAGTGACCCATCTTCAGCTCCAATCCAACTTGACTTGATTGATTGAAGTCAACACTGAGGTTGGGCGGCAAGTCATCGGAAGTCCTGAATCACCCGACCTGCATCGGGCGACTCAGGGCCACCGAGTTTAACTCCGTTGATAGTCTTATAGTGGAAGAACGGAAGCAAATGAATGACATGAGCAACACACATCGTCAGTTCAACAAACATGCCTGGAAGCAGCGTGTTTCACCAAGCCCTGAGTTGCACGGCAGTCCGTCGAACGACTCGCAAGCTGGCAGCCGCTCCGGTTTTGCAATTTTCTGCGCGCTGCTGTGGCACGGTCCATGTCACTGCCTTCCCAAAACGATGGCTTGATTTTTGCCTTCGTGCTCGCCTTTTAAGTGCTTCACCCTCAGAATGAGGACCTTGTCATCGCCCGCGACAGCAGCATTGACAATGAACATTTCCACCTTGTAAGTCTCCACTTCGTGGTAGCTGAATATTGTTGCCGCTGGCCAGAAGCAAAGGAAGATGCGCGCCCACTCGGCCAAGGCTGCGGACTCAGTGTTCGGCTCGATCGCCTCCATGTCAATGTCCTTGGTTGCACGAGAGCGGATCGCAGACCAACACCTTTATTTTAAACTGACGGCATCCTAAGTCTGAGACAAACAATAAAATGTCGCCAAGTTTCCTCTCAAACTGGGTCTCCGCTGCGGCGCAGACTTCGCCTTTCCAAATGGTCGTCAACGGGTATCTGAGTCTCCCCGCCAGTGGAGACAACGACATTGCTTCGTGATTCTGAGTGGGGGCAATCTGTTACAAAGGTTAGATTCTCAACACTTCGAGCTTGAAAAGGAACCTATAATAATTTGCGTAAAACTATTTTCACAGGGCCGTATTGGCTTAGACGATGGTCGGTAGCGCCCTGGTCTTTGCTAAGAGCCCGCAAAGTCGCGCACACACACACACACGGCGGATTCAAAGCGACCATGCTAATAGGCGCCGGAGGGGCAAGCATGTCCACAAGCTCATTGGACAAATCCAAGCTAGACATCGCGCGTTTTCGGCCAAGCGACATTGTCATCCCTTGCCAGAGCAGCCGCCTACTTAATTTAATATTTCAAATTACATCAATGGGCGGCGTGCGGCATCATCGCCACAGAGCGCCTTGTTCATGTCCGGGTGAAACCAAACCGTACACTGCATCTGGCAAATGGCCTTTCACCTTGGCGGAATCAGCCCAAATGTCATGTGGAAGCTTACTGATGAGCTGGGAGGCCAGCATCGCCCGACAAAACATCCGCTGCAAAATGCCCAGCGACATTCCGTCGCCAATGGTCGCGCCCATTTGTCTGGCAGGAAACGACTGCAGGACCTCATCCACCAGCACTTTTGGCCATCCCTGCAGCGCAGCCATTTCCCAGATGTTCATCCATCGATTCAGCGTCACTAGGAAATGTCCATTTGACGATGCCCTGGACTTTGTCAAGCATGGGCTGCACTCCAGCATGACACACCGAAACATTTCTGTGGCCCCACCGTCGCACACGATCTGCCTCTTCACATCCCAGCCCTTCGCTTCAGCAAATGCCTTGGCAGCTTCGATGTTCTTCAGGGCCAAGTCTGTGACATCCCGCTTCTGCTGCACGTTGTTGATGATGAAGCGGCTGAGCGAAGGGCAAGTGATAGGATCAGGAAAGACACGCTGCATCTCCTCTTTCACTGCCCATGCCTTTGAGATGGCCACGAGGTACAGCCTTGGCCTGCTGTGCGGGATTCCCCCATGGACCTTCGTGTCGAGGACCTGGGCCCGTACGGAGTAACTGCAGAGGCGCAGAATCTTCACCACCGCATCCAGCACCGCTTTGCATTTCGGGCCGCTAAGCCCCCGCACATTTTCAAACACTGCGAGCCGTGGCCTCTTTTCCACGACGTAATCGAGGCTGTGTATCAAAACGCAGCTCCGAACATCTCCTAGCGACTGCTGGCGACCAGCGCTTGAAAATGCTGGGCAAGGAGCTCCGCTGACGTAAAGGTCACAGGCCGGAGCGCTGGAGTTGTCCCGCGAGGTGATGTCATCGTACACCTTTTCCTGAATTTCGAATTTGCTATTGGATTTAAGCAAGCAGAAACACAAAAACTTTCGTCGAAATCTAAATGAGGAGCTGGCGTATCTCCAAAATGCGCGTGCATCTGCAAGGCCATTTTCCTCCTGGTGGGGTCGATGTCCTTGGCTCAAGGTTCCAGCCCAGCAACAAAACGGAGTGCCGCAATGCAAGCAGGCGGCCGAAAAGAAAGCAGTGCTCACCCGAATTGACTGGCCGAAGGCCAGCTTCAAGCTGACAAAGTCGGAGGACAAACCCGAGCAGTCAGACCCAAGTCGGACCACAGACGGAGCCGCAGCCCTTTCTCCAGGTCCAGTTTCGCGGCCAAGGCGACTGTTTGCGGCTTTCTTCTCAAGCTGCTCAATCAGGGCTTCAGCAAACTTCCTTAGCTCGCAAAAACGCAGCTCGTTCAGTCAAGCCTTGACAGGCATCACTGCTGACAGACTCTGATTGAAAGCAAGGATCCTATGGTCACTGTTCGTAAGGTCGCCGGCTGGCCGCTTCTTCGAAGTCTTGGCAGCTGCTTGCGTAGGCGTTGCTTCCTTGGTTTTCATCTTGGTCTTAGCCGTCTTCAAGACCTTCTTGAAGGCGTCGCCTTTGTGCCCGCATGCCTTCTGGTCTTTGTGTCTCAATCGAGGTCCATCTTGCCTACTTGATTGACATGCCGCTTCTCTTGAGCATGTACTGATCTGCAACAATTTTCAGAACAAGCCGCCCGGCAAGAAAGACAAAACATGAGCAATGAGGCACTCGCAGGGGGGATTAAATGTCCTCGTCACCACTCAGTTGCGGAAACCTAGGCGCTGCAGTCACATTATTTTGCACCGCTCTGAAGTTTGTGTCGCTCGTCATTGTGATTCAGATTGAAGGTCAATCCAGTCACTCAAAGCCCTAATAAGGTGTCCTTTTCGCCCAGTCTTCAGCTCAGCAGCTTCCAATTTACATTGATGCCTCTGCTTAACTACATTACCTTGAGCAACGCCAGCAGTAAGTTTCAATATTTGTGCAAAACACCCCCACCGTCCCCTAGCCGGGCCTCGCAGGGACACAAGACCCTAGTAAGGCCCGGCGCAAGGACGGTGTTTCACCCACGACGTTGCGCCGCCGAAGAAAACATATTTGATAGTTGATCCGCCGCGGAAGTCTGGGCCTAAGCGTCTTGAACAAACAGCAGCCAGGATTGCTGCGGCCTAGCCTAGTATGCTCACTGACTGGCCGAGTCTGATTCAGAATCGTTAATCAGCTGGGAGGCCGGCGGCGCGTTGCCAGTCGGTTTTTCCTTCTGCTTCTGCTTCTTCTCCGCCTTCCCCGTCTTCGTATTCGTCGTCTTTGGCTTCTTAGGCTCCGGCTCAGGCGCCGGATCTCCGGGGGCGGGCGTCGGCCGCTTTGGCGTCTTCTTGCCCTTTTCGGCTTCCGCATCCTTCTTGCCAGCTGCCGCCCACTCAGGCGCGTAGAACGTAGACCCTTCTGTCTGCATCTGTTGCTTGACAAACTTGACCAGCTCACTCTGGAGAAGCGAAGCGTGAGTCTCTGTCATGGTCATTCGGGCCCCGAAAAGATGGCTGGTGGACACAAATGTGCAGATTGAAACGGTGGCCTCCAAAGAGCCCCTGGAGAAACATCCACAGCCAAGAGCCCCGGGCCCCGAAAAGTTGTTCGATTCGGGCCCCGATTCGGGCCCCGAAAAGCTGTTCCATTCGGGTCCCGGATTCGGGCCCGAAAAGCTGTTCCATTTGGGCCCCGGGTTCAGGCTCTAAATTGTTTTCAAGCTGGAAAAACTCTCCGTGTTGGCTCCGAAGACTTGTTCAAAATTTGGGCCGGGTTCAGGCCCCGAAGTTGCCACAGGCGCAATGGCAGCGCGCCCGAACCAACCTGCGGACCCGCAGTTGGTAGGGAGGTCGCAGATTCAAATCCCTGTTAAAGTCCACTCATCCGAAGCGCTGCCCAAACCAATCCAGCCGATGCAATTCCCTCGGTTGGAGCCGGGGAATTTGGTGTGTTTGCGTTCTGGCAGCCAAGTGGACATGGGCTCGGTGCTGATCACGTGCCAGCGCTGAATCTGGTTGATCATGCCGCGGTTCAGTTTCTTCTTTCCTTCCATTGACTCCTCGACAGGATTCAAAGACAAGTACAACCGATGAAAGCACTGACAATGCTTTCAAATTTGACGAATTTATAAGTACAGAATCGATTTTTGAAACGGACATCGTCGTCCTGCCTGGCTGAGGCACAGCGTGATCTCCGTGTGCTCCAGGTAGTGCGCCAAGGCCCCCTTGCCATCCTTCGACTTGAACGGCGCCAAGACGCTCTCCAGCACGTTCCGCCCAGCATCGTTCAAGAAAATGAAGTCTCCGTCAATTGGACGGTCGAAGTGATCCTCTGCCACCTTCTTGTTCGCCAGGCCGCCGCGGCCCTTGATGCTGCCGTGGATCAACTTTTTCATGAGGGCTGGGCTCAGTGGCGGAAACCTTCGGTCAGGCCTTTTGGCGGCCTCTGCAAACAGGTTGGCGTCAAAGTGGATCATGACACCGCTCTTGCCCTGCACGCCGCGGAGGTCGCCATTCAGGCCGCTATCCCCTACGGCCCGGGCAACGGCAGACTGGGTTGGAGGCTCGGCCCGCAACGACACATAGATCGCAACCTGTTGCGCTGCCGTCGCTGTCCAATGCCTTCGTTGACTGCTCATGCATTGCCGCAACAATGGCGCACGCTCGCACGAGCAAAGCAACGTCAAATTCAATTCTCTCCAAGGCACTCAGCCGAGCCCTTGGGGTACTTTGAAGGCTGCGGAGCCACGCTGCCCTGCGCGATCTTCGTGCACTCGTCCTGCTCGTCCTGCTCCTCCTCGGCCGCCTTGTAGAGCGCTTTCTCTGCAGCTAGTTCATTGTCTTTTGCTGCCACGCAAGCCTTCCATCGTAGACTGAACGTCTCGATCTCGAGCAGCTCAAGCGGGTTGGCTCCCTTTCCTTTCTTCAGAAGAGCAATCAAGGGGCCGTTGAGCGTCGTCGTGTACAGGATGTCCTTCGCGCCAAGGGGGCCATTGCCAATAATGCTTTTAAGATTGCATTGCCCCCCCCCACCTCGATCAACCTCAGCACAAGCATGCTGGAGCGCTTCAACGAAGACATCCATTGAACTTCAGATGGACCTTCAAGGTTAGCAAGGCACGTGAGGTCACGTATTTCCGGTAGCTGCAAATCGTCATGATCTTCGAGTGGATCTTGGCAAGGTCCTGAGTGTCGAACTGGCTGCGTGGCATCTCCACCTGAGTCCATCAATGCAATGCCTAACACCACGCATTTTTTCAGAAGCCTAGCAACCATTGAACACAATAAACTTGAACCACAGATCCATGTTGATAAGTTAGTTTACTTGCCAAGACTGAAGAGGGCCGTGTTCAACAAGTGTTTGTTGATGGACAACTCGCTCTCAGGCCACTTTTCTCTTGCCTGCAAAAAGTGATGCGCCACAGTTCGCTTCAGCTTCAACAGCTCGACCAGCGATGCGGCTGTGGGCGTCCCAGCGAGGTAGGTCTTGGTGATGGTCTCGCGCTCAAGCGCTCCTCCCTCCACCATGTCGCAAATCACTTTCAGAATCCATTGCCTCAATAGATGGTCGCAAAGCAAAAATAAAAGCAATTGCGCAGATTCAGAAAGTCCGATGGCAGCGCTGTTCCCCGGCCTGGTCTCCATGTTCTCGCTTTTTTCAATCAGCACCCGAAGTTTCTGAAGGGAGTTCAATGGCGACTCCAAGCCATACTTGCTCTCCAACTTGTCCAGCACCTCGTTGCAGGTTGTGTCCACGAGCAACTTCTCATAGACGAACAGGCAGTCCTTTACGAATCCATCCGCCATGTCGCCTTTCACGGAGGATTTCGCCATGAATGAGGTGGGCCTTGGACCGGAAGATGTCTTGCACCTCCTTAACTCCAAGTCTCTCGCCAGCCTCGGACTCCTTCTTGTTTTTGAAGGCAGTCACCTCAAAAGCGAGTTGTCGAGCGCTTCTCTTGAGGGAGTCGTAAGTCTGCACCACTTGCTGCCTCCGGTGGAAGCTGTGCCAGTACAAGCTGTCTCCCCCGCCCACCACTTTGAACACTGCCGGCGCCGACAAGAAGACCCGGCGCCAGGCAGCAAGCTTCTCATCAGGCGCCTTAGCAGCTTCAACATCAGTCACTGAATGCGTCCGAAGACTACAAACAAAATTACCCTCTAAGTAGCTATTAAATCCCTGTCAGTCAGTAAACGTGTCTGAAAACCGCGAAACTCTCGTCGCTAGCTAATTTCCGAACACCTGCCTGGTCTTTGATGACATCCGCTAAGGTGAACAGCAGGGCGTGCTGCATTTCCTCCGGGCTCACAGCCTTCCACTTCCCCTTGCTATCCAGCATGTCCTGGTCCGGGCTGTCGACCGCGACTGTGAAGTTCTCGGTCAAGTGTTTTGCATCCCCGGCGGGACAAGCAAATTGCCCGAGCTCCCGGACCCTCTCCACACTGAGCGGTACTGTGGGCGTTGTGGACCCAAATGGGTCAATCCACATCAAGTTGATCGCGGCCCTGTAGCATCCTTCCTTCGTCAATGCTGCCTTGCACTCCCGTGGGTCGAAAACTGCCTGGCAGATTGACCAGTGTAATTCAAGCTGAAAAACAACTATTCGCTCTACCAGAAATTTCTCGTTGTTTTAGACAAGTGCAGCAATTCAGTGTTTTTGGCACGAACTGCCCGCAGACACCTTGCGCATGCAGGAAATGCACTGGTTTTGCATTATGAGTTGAGGCACTTGTTTGTATTTGCGGGCGTTTGTGTTGTTTTTTGCACTCGTTGTTGGTTGCCCAGAAGTGGTGTCAAACTGGTGTAATCAGCACAATAGGAGCAACACGGTCAAACTCTGTCAAACTGACCATTGCAGCATGCAAAGGATGTTCCGCGTAGTGGATTGCAAGGACAGGAGTCAAACATAACAAGCGCAAGTCTCCACCCAAGACGACAATTTGAAGGATGGCGATCTTTTTGAAACTGCTGAGTTACCAGTTACATCCGAAAACTAGTCCTTTAATTGTCGTCATGTATGCTGTTTGTTTCGCGGTAAAATTGGTAAGTAGAAAGGCCGGAGCACAGATACGGAGTAGTACTAGTGTCGAATGAAGATGCAGGCTAGGTTTAATCCGCCAATGCACTAAAGCCTTCCCGCCTGAACTCCCGACTGGTCTTCTCCCGGCTTGGTGTTGATCGGCAGCGGCGCAACGAAGGTGGGGCACTGAAGGATCACGTTGACGGCGTCGATGAGCGCTTCGTAGTACTGGGTGTTGTTCTGAGGCGCCGTTTCCGGAGCATCGATAGCCGCCGCCGCCGACTGTGGCTGGTTCTTCTTGACCTGGCTCTTCACCATCTTTGCTTCCTTCAGAGCCTGACGAAAGGCAAGACTGCATTTTCTGATGGATTCGCACGTGAAAACGACAGGGCTTCAAAAAACATCACGGTTTGGCGTTGACAGCTCCTTCGACTTGGTCGCCGCGGCTTCTGAAGCTGCCTTCTGAGCGTCCTCGTCTGAATCGCCAGCAGTCTTGCGCTCCGCGTAGACCCTTTTCTCCTCTTCCTCGACTGACTTCTGCTCAGCCTTGTTCAGCTTCCATTTGCTGAAATGCTCCGGCATTGTGCCAGAGGCCGACAGCCGTGCTTGACTGAGCCCAACCTGCAAAAATATGGTTCATGCCACGCTGCTGCAAACCTTTGAGCTAATGCTTGGCCTCAATGACTGCTCAGCCGCCTGACAATGTCAATCAACCTATAGGCAGATTTCTTAGAAAGGCGCCTAGCTTCAAACATTGACGACTGACAGACTAGTGACTAGCCAACTTCAGCTCACAGCCGCCCAAGCATAATTTGTTCACTGGCAGGTCAGTCGCTCAGCGGCCCGGCGGCGGTCAGAAGAAGACGTACAGGTGCTGCCTTTGAACATTTCAGAGGCAGGCTCGTGCTCGGGCTGGTCAGGCCAGGTCCAACGCAGGTCGTCACCGCCTTGGCTGGCAAGACAAAAAGTAAAACACATCTTGCCACTGGGAGCCCTGGCGAGGGGTACCCCCCCGTCAGGGGGGGGGCTCTTGCAACCGAACCTAGGTTCGTCTGGCGAGGGCCACCCCCCCCCGTTACAAGCGTGTGGCGAGAGCTACCCCCCTGCGTCACTGTACGTAACGGAGGGGGTAGCCCTCGCCCCCCCCCCGACGGGGGGGGTACCCCTCGCCACCAAACACACCCGTAAACGAACCTAGGTTCACTTGGCGAGAGCCCGACGTATAGCGGTCGCGGTGCCCCGACGTATAAGAGTTGCGGGGCTTTCGGGGGAGGGGGGGAAAAGGAATTAAAAATAAACGACCCTGGGTGCCCCGACAGTCAGTCAAAAAATGAAAACCCTTAACAAAGCAATCATGCAGCCAAAAATCGGCCAAGCTGTTCGCATCCATTGTCGTCGGCCGCCTTTGCCGTGCACTTCCTGCTGATCGGGGCGCGGCTGAGCAGGCTGGGTGCAGTACACTGGGCCAGATAGCTCAACCAGGCGGTGTCCACTACGGGCATCGGCGGGTCGTCGGCCGTCTTCTTAGAGCCAGCGCTCTCGTCATCCTCCACAACCACGACCTCATTGTCACTGGGCCAGCGCGCTGCTTCTTCCGCTTACCTAAGTTTAAGCAGCCATCAGATTACAGACTACTAAGACTAGTACTTTAAGTCAACGTGCCAATGACAGCAAACACAAGATATGGAAACGTCAATGTCCATTGCCATCATGATGCGCCTTGCGGCTCTCGCCCGGTTTGCCATCGCTCTCGCATCTGCTGATGGCGTATCGCCCGACTTTCCTCAGTTCACGCCAAGCAATTTAATAGCTTACTTAATTAGAAGCTTGAAAACTAGAAAAATGAAAGCCAAGCCAAGGCACGAATAGGGATTGCCAGGACTAAGAGTGAACGCTCAGCTGCCGACCAGCTTAAGCCCTGAGTTGCCTGCCCGACGATGACAACTTGGGCAACTCAGACTCGTCAGGGCTTGCCAGGACTAAGAGGCAATGCAGCTGCCGACCCGCCCTCAGCCTGAGTAAGCCCTGAGTCGCCCGATGACAACTCGGGCAATTCAGGGCTTGCCAGGTAAGAGGGGAGCGCAGCTGCCGACCGGCCCTCGGTAAGCCCTGAGTCACCCGATGACAACTCAGACTCGGGCAACTCAGGGCTTGCCAGGACTGAATTTGAATGGAAATTAAATGCAGCCGCAGGATCAGCCCTCAGCCTGGCAGCCCTGAGTCGCCCGACGACAATTCGGGCAACTCAGGGCTTGCCACGACTGACAGGAAACGCCTCAGCCTGCTATGCCTGGCAAAGCCCTGAATTGAAACAACAACATTAAATGTTTCTGCTAAGCCAACGTGCATCCAAGTGTCTGTCTCCCCCAACTTGTAGACCAGGCCGAAGTCTGCGATCTTCGCGGTCTGGGCCTCCGTCAGGAGGATGTTGGCCGGCTTTATGTCGCAATGCATAAGCTTGGCTCCTTAGTAGCACTGGATTCGCCGATATCACAAACACAGAAAACTGTTTGAATCATGTCATTGTTCGGTGACAGCTTAGATGCGGAAAACAGTTCAAACAACAGTCGTCGTTGATCAGTAATCAGCTTGAACCACACGCGCCCCAGCAAGTCTTAGACTTTAATAGACTAAGACTACTAAGGCTCGGTGCATGTGGTAGAGCCCGCTCATGCATTCGCGCATCCACTTCCTCAGTGTCAGAGACTTGTTAGCCAGTGTTCACTGGACGAACCCCCGGAAAGCAATGACTAAGCGCGAATCATGAGGATCTCGCTGGAGATCGACCGCATCTGGGGGTCGTGGATCCGACAGTGTAGGTCGCCTCCCGCGAGGAACTCCAGCTCCAGCATGACCAAGGTCGGGGTCATAATCAACTGCCAGATCTGCACCAGGTTCGGGTGCCTTAGCTGCCTCATCTGGTTGCCCTCCTCCAGGAGTGCCTGGGCCTCCTCGCTGGATTCGAAGTCCCCGCGAGAACTTCAAGACGCGGAGGCCCCCGTCAGCGTGGCGGCACTTGTAGACCACTCCCATGCCACCTTCGCCCAGCTTGGACACCTCGTGGCCTGGATCAGATCCTCGCCCTTGTCATTGTCCGTCGTCGCCATGCCGCCCGCGCAGGTTGCGTTCTGAAAAAATTGGCAAGCGGATATGAAATAATCATAATGGTAATCAAGTGTTAACCCAAGCAACATCATTAAGCGTTGGAATAAACCTTGGAAATGACATGAGCTCGCGCTTGACCCTAAAATTCCAAGACTCAAATTCACACGGAGTGCGTTCACGAGTTGCCAGCAAGACAGCACTGCGCGTGCAAAGTGCGTTTTCCAGCTCCTGTGCCCTGGATTGCCTAAGTCTAGCTAGATCTAGCTAGCATCCGTCTGCTCACTGGCGCTTGCCTTTGTCAGTTGGGAGAGCCCCCGAAGGCGCTCGTCACTCAAGTTTTGCTGAGGGCAAGGCTTCTTCTGCCTTTTTGCAATGGTGACCTTACAGTAGCAACGCAACAGCTCGTCACCCTACCTGACGTTCAAAGTGAGGCCGCAGCAGCCTTCTGCAACGCATCGCGCGCAAGTCTGGTGCTGCGTGACCTGGCGCAACATCATTCATACTAGATTCCGTGACTAGGATTGAGCAAGCCTCATTGTCATCCTTCAGCGCCCTTTGCACGTCAGCAGGCACCTCAGGCGCAATGGCCAAGCTAGTCCGAACCTGACATGGCAGTGAAAAAGGCTAACGCGTAACACGTAACTGAGAGTCCGGCTTCGCTGACCTTGATTTCTTCGCCGAGCAGTTCGTCGATGCGTGTCAACACCGCGAGTTCCTGCAGCGAGACTCGGGACAAAGGCTAAACCAGTTGCCGGCCCTTGATTGGGCAAAACCCAACAATGTAACGCCTCTTGGTCGGTCAGCTTCCGCTCAATGAAGCGCTCAACATGAAAGATGGCGAAGCCTTGGTCTATAGTAAGGTCGGCAATTTCTGTGTGAAAACTACTTCGCATCCCTCGCACAAGCTTACTAAGGAACTGGCTGAAAGTCACAGCGTGACGGGTTGCCGCCAGCGTGCGGATTGTCTCCGCGACCCTTCGGCACGCAAGGTCGAGCTCCATTACGAGCCTTGCCATTGACCATTGTCATTGATGAGCCGGGACCCGCCACTTAGTAAGAGCCAAGAAAGCTTCGCTGTGCAGCCTGAGGTGCCTGATGCGCCTGCAGCACCTGCAGTGCCTGTGGCAAAAGCCCTTCCTCCAGTGCCAGCGCAAGGAGTCCTGGTTGCAAAGGCTTCTGCCCCTGCTGCACCGCAGGTGGAAGATGTGATCCCGCAGACTCCCCCACCTGCAGTCCGCCGTGGTTCTCCTCTTGCACTTGTTGCTGCCCCGCCGTCAGCTCCAAAGACAAGTGACAAGCCCGTCTGATGTCTTGAGGCACATGTTTGCGCAGAGCAAGTCAAGGCCTTCTGAGCCTGCTGCTGCTGCTGTGTGTGGTTGACTTCGGTCCTGCTGATGAGGCCGGCCGATGATGAGGACATGGGGCCAGCCGCTGAGAGCCTGGGCCTTGCTTGTGATGGCACCGACCAGGACCAGGCCAGGCAGCGCCCCATCTGTTTGGACACCTTGGTGGTAGCAGTGCTGTTCTTCAAGATGCTGATGCTGGCCAAGAAGTCAGTGAACAGGCCGCCGGTGAGGGCATTGCTGAGCTGGGCCATGAGGCTGTTCGTCCAGATTCCGGCCGTGACTCTGATTCAGATCCAAGCTTCCTCTGAGGGTGTGTGCTGATCTGCCTGTGCATTTGAGTGTTTGCAGCATGACAGTGGTTTCTGTGAGTGCTTGCGTTGCATAGTATGGACAACTGAAAGGGCTAGCCATCTTTTTCCTAGGTTGTAGTAGCATTGTGTCACATGTAATGTTTGTTTGTTCGCCACATTTTGCATGCTGCTCAGGTTGGGTCTTGCCAGTATTCGTAAGAACACAGGCCATTAAGCACTGGTGAGAGGTGAAGTGGGAAAATATGCATCAAGCTTGTGTGCATGCTCAGCTGACACAGTGTCAATCAATGTCAAGTCAATTCAAAACACTTGTTTAGTTTTGTTTGCGGCGAGATTGAAACTCAGCATTGCAGAGAGGATGCCCAGGGTTGTTTCAACTCGATCAGCACTAGTTTCTGCCTTGCGCTTAGGCAGCCCCTACGTAGATGGCAACTTCCCCTTGCCAGCGAACACGCTACTATGGCGTGTAAAAACCCGAAGCGCGCAAGTCAAGCCTGGAAATGTTTTCCAGAAAACTCGCCTTGCTGAGATAACCCTGCGAATTTCCACTGAGAACAGCAGCTCGTCCAACTTCAGCCGAGGTTGCCAAGATCATGGTTGCGTCTGCCCGAACGGCTGCGAGCTTCCATTTACTTCCGGGACGTTTCACAATGTCCTTGATCGGCTTCAGGAATTGGGCGTGGCTCTCACGGAACTTTGTGGAAAAGAAGACCTTCTGACGCCGCGTCTGCGAGGCAGGCTGAAACTTCAGAAGGATCCCTTTCTTGCCTTCCAGGAGGCAGACATCCATGATCTGCCGACCAAGCAAGGCAGCCATCAA